TTGAATTTTCTAATTCTTAATACTTTTATGATGTGTACATTATCGCTCAAATCTCTATAACGCTCGGTGTTTTAAAGTAAGCATACGTAATTCCTCACAACCGAAGGCTGCAGAAGCAATATAACCTCTAACAAATTAACATGTCAGTATTTGACCTGTCAAACTGTGCTATTAAATGCAGTATATCGTGTGTTAGTAGTGGTTTGCGTGATATTGCTTGTGCGTTATGAATCCAACAATTTGTGGTCCGCCACAATGATTCTGCTTTATCCTGGTAAATCTCCAGTTAATGTGTAAAGCCACGGGTGATTAGTGGACTAACCCCACGCAGTGTCACCCGGGTTGGGCACTGTCAGTGAGGTAAAGACATCGTTTTAACATCCGGACTGACTGAAGGCAACACTCATTTCTCCTAATCCATCTCTTCAGTTGATGCAGTAGATTAATGTGGCGTTATATAACGCGTCTGACAGGATGGTGTGAGGGAAGCCGCTATGATATGTCTATTTTTACCCGATACGGTTATTTTTTAATAATTAAAGTTTATGCAAAAAAAGAAATGAAAATGATGCCCTCATGGAAACCATCTGTTCTTCATAGGTCGGGTCGCCCCCTCATGGGCGAAGCCACGTTGATCACGTGACCAGCTTTTAGTTATAATAAATGGTTCGTAAACAAATGTAATGCATCTAGCCCATTAGAGATATGTGTCCAATACCACTGGTGCTATTAGAAGGAATAAAACCCAGCTAAATGTAAAACTTTATTTTGCATAGAGAAAACTTACTAATCATAATGAAACTCTACTTTTCATGAGATTTTGGGAAGCGAATTTCACTACAGACCAAAATTTGTTTGGTGAACTCTGACCAGGGAAACTGATCAAATTCAAGTCGGTTTTATTTGTGTAGTGCTTTTCATAATACACAAGCTAATGTTTGTACTATCTTAATAGTATCCTGCTTTATATTAGCATTTAGCAGATATAGAGATGTATATATTTGTATCTTAATATTAATGTAATACTGTAGTAATGCGGGTAAAGTTGGGGTACTGTATATCCAACTTTACATGTGTTGCTTGGCGATAGTATAGTTTACATTTTGTGACAAACAATTAGGCAGTTAATTAGCACATCGCTTTGTGATTGAACTGTATGGGAAAGCTTCAAATTTGCTGAAAAGTGGAGTTTATTTATTAGTATTTGGAGAATTTATTAGTATTTGTCAGGTGTTGAATTTATGTTTTTGAGAGAGACTGTCGTATCATGACCCTTGCAGTGTGTGAAGAAATTTTAAAGTGTAGTGTGACCGTGGCTTAAGTGATGAATTTATAACATTTTAGAATTGTACTGCCAGTCAGATCTAAATTGTGTTAATTAAAACACCCTGTCTCACTGTCTGCAGGTTGGAACGTCTGTTTATCTTACTGGATACAGGTACGACTCCTGTTACCCGTAAAGCAGCTGCTCAGCAGTTGGGAGATGTTGTTAAGCTTCACCCACACGAGCTTAATAACCTGCTGTCAAAGGTGAGTGTTTAGGCTTGGTTCAGACTCACACAATATCAGATTTTTTTTTTTCTTTTTGACAAATCAGACACACTTGATAGTTTGTAGTTTGAACAGCAAAAAACACATTAAACTCATAAAAATTGTTGTGATAGTCAAAAGAACAATATGTCTGTATTTTTTGTACTAGTAGCACTTGTTTGTATTTGTACAGGAAGAACGAGTTTCCTAGCGTTTCAGAATTCATGCTTGCCGTCTGTTGTTCACTGTGCTCTCATATGTAATGAGAAAACACTTATGATTTAAATTTTAAAAAACACACACATGAAGTTTGATGTTTTCAAACAAAATCCAACTCTCTCTTACTATTTATTAGGGGTGTGCACAAATAGTCAAATATTCAAACTGTAATTATTATTCGAAAAGTAAAAACACTATTCGAATTTTACTACTTGTTACTTTGCTGGCCATAAATGCAGGGAATCCATGATAAATCCTAAGCACGCAAAAGTCAGTTGTAATTAGGCCTGTCGCAATAATCAATATATCGACTTGTCGCACAATATATGTACATGACCTCAATCATTTTTGGTGACGCAATATATTGCCCATTATATTTACATAAAAATTAATGTCACCCTGGATAAAGTCTTGTTTTAAAAGATGAAGGAGAATGTGATTCCTCCCTATAAAACGGTTTTCAATCAAAACATACTTATCCTGCACAAAATTACTATAAAATGTAAAATTATGTCATTTATATGTACAATTTATATGCATACCTATACATTATAAATATAATAGATAACAAATATATAAAAGTTATATATCAAAATCTTTTATGTGAAATATCTTATTCAGGTCAGTACTAAAGAAAAAATAACATGCATTTTACTGCAAGGTGTATGTAAACTTTTGACCACGACTGTATGTATATATATATATAATTATTATTATTACTTTTTTTTTACATTTTCAACTAAAAGAATACCATGAGATATAACGTAACGTTGTTGTAGAACATTGTTGTGTGTAATGCCTAATCATAAGTAGGGATGCACCGATCTTTTTCCAGCCAGTACTCGCCCGATACCGATACTTTAATTTTAGGTACTTGCCGATACCAAGTACCGATACCAATATTTTTATTGCATTTGTAAATT